TTAGAAAGAGACAAAGAGTGAATTGAACTAACATGCAAGTTAAACGACGTTGGTGAAAAGGGGCATAAATAAGATTAAAATTTGACTCATCAAACAAGATAAAGAAAAGATTGTACTTCAATTTTTTATCCAATTATTACGAGTGCTTTAACATATACTTTAATGTTAATCACGAAGAATTCGTCAGCATCGCATCGGAAAGTTATAGAAAGACTACATAGAATTGCATGTTGTGTACTAGCAAAATAAATTTAATAGAAAAATCTAGTAGGGCGACACAGAGAATATTTTTCAAGCGAAACGTACATTCAATTTTTAATAATAGTTACGTCTGAAAGTCGAATTCTCTCATACCTCTGATACATTCTCAAATTTCACTCTTTTCTTTCGATGCTGAAGAAATCACAGAGTGGAGCGTTCCCATAAAAGCGTCTCTGTTTTTGTCGCATAAACGGCTCCGGCGAGAAAAGCTGCGTTGATAATTTAGTCATTTGGGAGATTAGATGATGAAAAGATAGAAACAGGCTTTAGCCAATGACGAGTAAGAAAAATATCGTATATCGACATTCTCGGCTTGATTCGCACCGTCGAAGCGACGCTGAAGCGGCGCGGCTGCCCTTCGGGGAGGAAAAGCATTTTACTTGGATTATTAGAAATGTATTAGAACAATTTGATTTTTAACTTGATTGAAAAATATGCGGTTAAAAATAATTTTTGAGAAAACAGTATTAATACTCGACATGCTTCTGATTTTATGTATGCATTAATGGTATATTTTATTTCTGATCAACAATTGATTAGTGTAATTGATATCTAAGTTTTAGTTATTAATATTAGAATTCGTTGTGTGTTTTGCATTGCCCGAAGGAAAAAGAAATTTCTAAAACTTAACCATTTTACATAATTTTTATAAAAAATGGAAATTTTTAAGGGGATAGTAAAGAGACTTGTATTTTCCTCCCAATTTTATCGTGAATCAATTCTACGTAATCAAGGCGGAAGTTTCCATGAGCAGCCTCGATGACTTTCTCTTTTATGGAAGCTGTGAAAATAATTCGATTTAAAGAAAGTCATCATGTATATATCGCATATATTTATATTTTTATCATGGAAACCCCGATCTCTATTCACAATTGATACTCGACACACGAAAACCAGGTCGCGCGACCGCGAAGGGAAGGCTCGTCTTTTTAGTTTATCCGAAAACGTGAACACTCGTGTCTTTTTGCTAGGATCCTTAAACTCACGCGCGCAAGAATTTAAATATTTAAACCACCCTGTATAAAAAATGTAAGATAAAGAACTTTACGGTCGCTCCGGTGTCGCTTCGAGCCTGACGAGACGGCTTTTAAACATTTATCCTTAACTACGTCACACCAATGTGCTTTACTGTTTCCTGTGTGCTGCGTCGTTCTGCTCTACACATCTTTTCTTCGACACAAAAATAGTTTTGATATATTTCTCTCGATCCTCTTTCACCACGCCTTCCCTTTTTTTCTCTTTCTTCTCTTTTTTTTTTTTTACCCAACACCGATTATATTCAACACGATTTACACTGAAATAGATCTGGCGAATCTTTGGATGAAGGCTGGTAGAAAGATAGGCAGAAAGGTAGAGTGCGTGAGAGAGAGAGAAAGTGATAATCGACGATATATCGCAGGGATGGACTTTCTCCTCTTCCATTTTCTTTTCAGTTTTTCTTCATTGACTCTTAAGATTAGTGTACAAGTCTTGATAGCGATTGCGATGCAATCACCATGGTTTTTTCCTTCTCTTTTCTCAATACGTAATACGCTTACGTCGTGGCAAATCGTTGTTTCTGCTTCTTCACAAAGTCGAGAGCCATCTTGTCGCCGACTCGGGTTTCCAATATTTGGAGAATCGGATGATCTAGAACAAAAGGCATATTTAATTTGCAAGAGATATAAGCATCGATGTAGAAGTTACAATGTGAAGATTATTTATAAAAAATAAATTGATGATATTGTAATATTAAATACATTTATTCAATTTCTAGTCACGTAAAAGATTTAAAATAGAATATCTTAAAATAAGATAAATTTATAATTTAAAATATTCTGTATTTACATAATTTCCTATCATAGATCTATATGCAGATCGAGAAAGTTTTCGATTCTTAGACTTATAAATTTAGTAACGTGTTATTTCTATTCTGAAATTTTAAGTGGACTTCAGAAATTCATAAATTCATGTATTTTCATTAACTTTTCCAATTACAAAATTTGATTAATTCACTCACGCCGATTTTTTTGGTGCATAAGCGGTAGTTCCTGATGCTTGAGGCCGTGGAAATTGTCTATGCTGGTGTTTGTGTCGACGACGCCAGGAATAGTGCTGAGTCCTAGGAAAGCCTCGCCTGCGAAATCGTTCGCCGTGAGAACGTCGTGATCCATTACCGTAAAAAGAACCATCGCATTAGGATCACGACACTGTTCCACACTCACCGAACTGAAAAAAGTATATATGTGTACATATTTATTGAAGCTAAATATATTTTTTCAATTGTTATCTGATATTTAAATCAAGATAATGTTATCTTATAATATAAATTTAATAGAATTAAAATATTATTACATCATGCAAAACAAGTAGTAAATTAGATAACAAACTTCTTGAAGATATTACTTTTACATATGTGTGAATACTTTTTGTTCTATTATTGATATTAAATATTGTTATAACTCAAAATGTAATAAACTCACAATTCAAAACACTCGTCAAACATGGGATTTAGAGTTCTCTTTTTGACATTAGTTTGTTGCTCGGCGCAATGCTCGAACATTCGTCGTGGTAATAATTCGATTATCACGAAGGGATCGCTGAATCCATTCGGGTCTAATGGTATGACATCTCTGGCACTTATCACCTCGATGCAAAGAGAATCGTGATTCAAATAAGCTCGTACTGTTAGAATTCCATATTCGTAGCTAGTTGTGTTAAGTTGGTCCTAAAAATTAACACATAGATATATTATTTGTAATTAGAGATATAGTACACACACATTCAGCAATTAAACATTGTGCCATATATATATAAACATTTTAAGGCAATTTTTTCTATACAACATATTTGCATAGCAAGAAGTATTAAAAAGAGTATTTTTAAAGAAAAGAATATTCTTAAACATATTTGTACAAAATATTGCCATTTGCTATTTAAAATAAAAGAAATAATTGTACTTAGTTGACTAATTAATTTGGATGTCGCATATTATATACCAGAAGACGTTGTTGATAATATCGATCGATCAAGAAAGTCGTGTCCATTTTATGATACTGAAGACGCTCTTCCGCGTTCATGAAACTCTGACGACGTAATACTTCTAAAGGCAAGCCCTTATCGTCAGCGTTGAAGAATCTTACTAATAAGTCAAGCGCCTCGTGCAATCTCTCGTAAAACATCACTGGTTTATCCTGCAAGTAGTAATATTTTTCGTCATTATTTTGTCGTTTGTGTAATTTAGATTACTTACAAATATACTGAGTTAGAAATGTGTCACAATACATACAAATATCGTCAAAATTATTTTATCATATAAAGGATAATAATTTTATCAGAAAAAAGTTTAATATTCATGCAATTATGACAAAGGCATAATTACTTCGGCATTTCCATCCATTTGACTGGCTAATTCACTAAGGACCACCTCCCAAATATCCTGCAGAACGCGATTGAAATTTGCGGCTAGCAGAGCCGAGTTAAGTGCTACTAGATGAACATCCAGGTATTCTACTAGAGGTGTGATTGCTTCTGTAGTTGGTAAACTGTCAGGAGACCAAGCCAAATGAAACATCGCCTTTTTCAGAGGTGGTCTCATCTATATAAAACAGATAAAATAAAATTATTGTTATATAATTGCGAACAAATGTATTGTCCAGGTAGCTAACATTATTTGTCGTCATTTTAACGTCAAAATATTGGTAAGTAAAGTCAACTTGCTACCTGGATAGTTCCTTTGAAAATTTTCCATTATAGGTATATTTTCGTTGCGTGTAGTATACTACAGTATGATTAGGATGAAAGTTATAGTTTGCAGCTTTTCAATACGCGTTTGTTAACATAGCTACCAATAGTTACAGCGATATTATCGCGACAGTAATTATGCTTGCAAACTAATAAGCGCCAGCGACGTTTTAAAACTGGAATGTAAATTACGTTGCGCTAACTTGGTGACCTTTC